ATTAAGTTTAAATATAAAAATTATCTTAAATTATTAAACGTAAAATTATAATCGTTAATTTTTTTTTCTACCCCACCATTAACCCCCATACTCACAATAATTTTTCTCAATTTTATTTTTATTCAGTTTTTATGGTTAAAAAGGATAAATTTATAGCGTCAAAATGGATATTGAAGGAACTCAATGATTTTTAGAAAAATCTTCCTACATCATGCAGTGTTAGTAGACAAACATTTTCTATGAAGTGGATTATTTTGATTTTTTTTTAAATGAATTTAATGTACAGTATTACTAGAACATGCTGAAAAGATATTTGACGGAATTTATGAAGTTAGGTAATCGTTGTTATTCTTTTTGCCTCTATGATGGTAGTTTTCATTGTGTTGTAGTTTTAATACTGATACAGACCCTTGTTTATCCTAAATTTTGCACTGTATTATCATTAATTAATTAGTCTTAACCACATACGTCTTGCATAGGGTCTTGATAAAGAAATTAAATACCGATGTAACTGATACATGTAATTGGAGATTCTATGAGTACGAGATGAATGAGACATAATGCCTTACCTCAATAAGTAGAAAATGGAGGATTAGGTTGAACTTCATTATCTCTTTAACAGAATATCAACATCTAATCATCTATACCCTATCTTTTTTAAAAAAGAACAGAGAGACATTCAAACGTAAAATCTAAAAAATAAGTTTTTAATCAAATCTCTTAATATTATTTTTTGTCGCATATCATCATTTCAAGTATTTTAAATTTAATGTAACTAACATTTAAAATAAATAATTTTTTTTTATATTTACACTATCTTATAGTCAACTATACTATAGCATGTGCATTGCACGCACGTCTTTCTAGTATATTTATAAAAAGAGAAGGTAGATTGTGAAAAGGTCTTCAAAATCTTTTATAACATGGTCCTTTTCTTGAAGATGAGGGAATTATCCATCAAAGCTCTAGTACCAATATTCTTCCCCAACAAAATGGGATAGCTGGAAGAAAGAATAAACACCTCCTTCAAGTTACTCGGTCTATATTGTCTACAAAAAAAAAGTTTCAAAATATTTGTGGGGTGTGGCAATTTTTATAGCTACCTATTTGATTAACCGCTTACCTTCAAGGATCTTAAAATTTCGAATACCCTTTAACCTCTTAAAAAATTCCTTCCCCAACTCTCGGATCTCAGCAAACTTGCCTACGAAAATATTTGGATGTGTCGAATTCGTTCACATAAAAATCTTAATCGGGCTGCCAATGTGTGTTTGTTGGGTTTTTCCCAACACGAAAAAGTTATATAAGTGTTTCGATCCTATTTCCGAAAGATTATATATTACCATGGATGTAACAATTTTTTTTGAAAAACGACTAAATATCGATTTTATCATCTTCAAGGGGAGAATATAATTAAAGATTCATTCATTAACCATTTCCAAATAGAAATACCTTCAGTAACCTCTGATAAGTGTGTTTTGCACACTTATTTAGGTCACAAAATATGAAAAAATGTTGATGTATATGTTGAAATGTGGCTTAACTAAATACAATTTGTATTTGTAGGATTACATTGATGGATGAAATGAAGAGTACGCAAAAGCGAGCGAAAAAAGACCAAATTAGAAG